AACTTTCAGGCATTAAAGGGGAAGCAGTGTTTCCTCCTTGTTTCAAAGTGCCAATGGATGGGAAGAGCCGCCGACACGTTTCCGTCGGCGACTGCTGTGCAGAACCTGAACGGAAATAAATTCTTCGTTTCTCCCGCAACCTAAATTTGCCTTTTATGCTGTGAATTGTCGAAATATGAACATTCTTCGTAGATCTAAATACTGAGGATCTGCCTCGCCGGCGAAGTTCCGCCGTCATCGTCTCGATACTGACGAGTCGGGGCCCCCGAAGTCCCTCCGATCGAAGAGTTGGCGTTTTATCTTTCGACCTGCAATGATACCAGCTGCAGAGAACCCGTTGCCAGATCTACCGAGAAATCCCGATGGGTCTTTTCTCCCTCCAGGGGCTCTACTTATCAGCGCCTCGCGAATTCCGGACGCTGGCTTGGGACTGTTCGCAGGAGAAGGTGAGAACAACGTCCTCTAGCAGTCATCAGACGTGACACAACGGCTGTCCGCTGCAACTTGTCTTAGAAAAAAACACTATGTTCCCGCGAGAGGTGGGCGCTAATTATTGTGGCCGCCAAGCATATTGGTAATTCAAGGTTGATGATATATATTTCGGAGTTTCCGTTTGTCGCATCCGCAGGCATAAGGGCAGGAACGTGGATATGCGAATACATCGGCGAAAAGAAGAGCCTGATGTGCGCAATGACTGATGCATGGTCACACCGGTATCTCAGCGGTCCATGAATATTTCCTGCGAGAAAGGCTTTCTTTCTAGACAGAGAACCTCCCCGACTTGTCGGCCGCATGACAAAGCGTAAAGATGTTTTTCATAAACAGTTAGAGTTGCTTATATAATCCACCGCACAGAACAGATAGAGGGCGTGCGTGTCCACAGGGAAATCATGCACATGAAAGACAGACAATACGTGATGGGTACAGGGCATATAAACTGCCATATAGACGCCACCAACCACCTAAAGGCAAGTCCGAGCATCACTGGAATGTTTCAAGAAGAAATTCAGCAAAACTGTGGGCAGATTCATACTAGAATGCATATCCCATTTGACTACGTGCCTAATGTGTCGTGGCACCAGCACTTGCTCTTGCTACTTTTTGTACCATAGGTATTCGCAAGGTATTGCAATGACAACAAAGACAAAAACGCCATCAACGCAGAGTTTGTGAAAATAAAGCAACAGAGGTGCGCGGAAAGCAGGAAACACAAGTCCATCAGCAACGAGCTTTGCAAACAACGCAAGGCACCAACAGCAGTCCGTTTGAGTTCGACAAGAATGCACCGCTGCTTTGTGTCTAATTGTGCCCAGACGCGTTCTTCTGCGAGCTACGAAAGATGTGATGAAAGGATCAGAAATATACGCTCCTTATGGAGAGGTACTTAATAATCTATAGCTTCGTCACTCCCCTTGAAGTTCATGCAGCTATAGCCTTCTGCGTAAACGCGCTCAATAGCCGTTTGTGTTTGTGTGCGTGCGGTGATTCCTAGGTCTTCTGGAGAAGTCGCCAACAGGAAATCCGTTCGAGTCGAGACACTAGCTAATTTTTTGTTTGATTGCTCTGAGGTGAAGACTCGCATTTGTTATCTATCAAATATTACGTAAAAGAAAAGCAGCCGCTCCGCTGTTTATTTGAATTGTCAAACGATTCTAACTTTCGTTTTATATGAAACATCGCCTCGGGGTGGCCAAGGCACACCTGGCACGAAAATACCTTATGACAGCTCAGAGGAGGCGTGCCTCGATCACTTGAGAGCAAAAAACAAATACGGTACATGGGGCAAACACTTCAACGGTTCTACTGCTCTAATGCTTATCGGCCCGACACTCAGGTGCCCAGTGACAAATGCATAGATGGGGTCTAG